AACCCCATGTCCAAGGTGGAGGGTCCTCTCTGAGCTGAAGCCCCCCCAGTGTCCCAGAAGGGGCCCAAAGGTCAGTGAGAGGATGGGATGAGGCAGCAGGAGCTCCTCTGAAGGAGAAATAGTTGGGAAAAACAACTTTAAAAAGCCAAACCCGGAGAAGTAACAGCACAGAGTCTACAGGGCAGGAACGGCTCATTGGCTTGGCTGCACATCCTGGAAGTGTGCCCTGCCCTGAACCTCGTGGAGATGCCCCACACTGGATGAGACATCAGTCCTGCCCTCCCCATGGCCCAGCAGGGGTTCAGCTTCTCCTGCTGCTGCTCCGTGCAGCACCATCCACGGGCTGGTTCCAGCACAGCCTCGCGTGGGGCTGCCCTGAGCTCCTTCCCCCGGGCTTTGTGTGGGAGCTGCTTTCAGTGCCCCTGCCCAAGAGCCTGGCCCACATCTCCCACCCTGTGTGGGTGTCCCCAGGGTCCAGCTCCACCCCCTCCACAAGAACCTCAACCCCAGGGAGGTGGGATCCCAGCCACCCTTCCCACAGAGGTGTGGGAACCCCAAAACGCCTGCGGTCACCCCAGTGCCAAGGTGTAGAAACATGGACCACGCTTGGAGCATGTGGACCTTCCCCTACGCCTGCAGCCCCCAGAGCAGTGTTGGCAGGTCCTCAGAGCCCCCCTGGGGTGTTGGCAGGTCCCCCACCCTGACAGGGTGGACACGGCCCCTCCCTGCCCCAGCAGCAGCAGCGATGAGTCTGTGCTGGGACAGCTGTGCTGGGACGGATGTGCAGACCCAGAGCCCTGCTCGGGCTGGGCTCCCAACCACTCACTTTTTTGGGGTGCCAGGGAGCCAGCCAGGACATGGTAGGAGACGTTGTGGAGCGGGGAGAGCTCGTCCGTGTCCCTGAGGATGCGCTGGGCTCCTCCCGGCCGCAGCAGCTGCAGGATCGTGTCGGGGGTCAGGCCCCTCAGATCCACCTGGGGGGGAGCCACAGGGAGCCAGGTCAGAGCCCGGAGCACCACGGACACACAGGAGCAAGGGGGAATGACAGCAGGGGCCCCAGAAGTGATGGGGAACCCCTGACCTGCCCTCCAAGCTCCTGGATCCAGGGAGACCCCACTGCCCAGGGCAACTCCAGGGAGAGGAGAAGGCAGAGCTGGGGTTGGGGGTGACACAGTGCAGGGAAGGGAGCAGAGCTGGGGTTGGGGGTGACACAGTGCAGGGAAGGGAGCAGAGCTGGGGTTGGGGTCCAGGTGGGGCAGGAAAAGATGGAGGATGCTCCAGTGGCCACTCCAGAGGGACATCAGTGGTTGGGAACTCACCTCCAGGGGATCCTGTTCCTGCTGGCTGCCCCCATGGAGGAGGAGGAGGAGGAGGAGGAAGGAGGCTGCGAGCACGGCGGTGAGGCAGCGCTTCAGGGAGCATCGCATCGCACCGGGCTGGCGCTGCCGAGGGCTGTGGAGGAAGGGGCATGTCGGGGAATAGCCAAGGAAAACCCCCATCCCCTGGATGGGACTCTAGGGCAGCACCTGGATGAACCCCTGGGACTGAGCCCTCTGGCCAGAGCACCCAGGGGTGCACACCCAGGGCAGCCACGGGGCATCAGGGGGCACTTGTGCACGATCCCCTTTGGGCAGGTGGGGCAGGACACCCCAACTCAGCCAGGAAAACAATCAGCCAGGTACAAAATCCATCCCCAGCCCAGCCCCACAACACCCAGGCTGCCCTCAGACACCCCCTCAGCACCCCCAGAGCTGGAGATGGAAGAAATGCAGGTGCCACGTGCCCTGGGGAGGGCTTTTGGGTCACGGGGACGCCCGTGGAGCAGCCACCAACACCTCGGGACTCGGCACCGCGCCCTGGGAAACACTCGGGTCCCAAATGAGCCCGGGCTGCTCTCCCAGCACCACGAGGCTGAAGCAGCTCCCCCAGCCCCTCCTGCCCGCCCTACTCCCCTCCTGCCTCCAGGCAGGCCCCGCCCCAGCCACAGCCCCTGCTTGGAAGAACAAGGTGTCCCTGAGGGCACAGTGTCACCTTTGAGGAAGTCATGGTGCCCTTGAGATATTTTACCCTGTGGCAGAGGTGTGGCAGGAGCCTGAAAAACTCCTGTGTTTGCCTGGCGATTTTCCAGTTTAAATATGACTGGGGCCGCCCTGGAACAAGAGAAGCTGGAGACCAACCCAGTGCCCATCCTGGCAGGGCAGACACGCTCAGCCCATCCAAACTGCTCACAGCACCTGTTTGTCTTGGTCAAAAGCATCTTTGAGTGCAAACGTGGAGGAAAACCCCTCCTAAACCTTCCCAAACCAAGGCCGGGCTTCCCAGGACTTCTCCCTAAACACCTCCCTGCATCCACTGGGATGCTCCCAGCCCACCCACAGGCCCCAGGTGGCAATGCAGCACCTCTCTGGCACTGCCCCAGCATTTGCTGGGCTTACTTTAAGGAGAATCCCCTCAGTTTTCCTGCCCAGGAGTCCTCTGGGGGATTGTCAGCACCTCGCCAGGCTGGTGCCAAGCAGGTGCCCCTGATGCCACGGGCAGCCTGTCCTCGTGCCACTGCCCTCATCTGCCTGGG